GACAAGTGCTGATAGTCAAAATTAATTAGGAAAATATTGTGGATATGAACTGAGTATAATGAGTATATATACTGTAGGCCTATTAAAATAAATCACACTAAATGATTAATGACGCCTCACAGATACGGGGGTCTTCACTGTAACAGGATCAGCCACACAAAGCCATTTCAAAACAAAGACTGCAAAGCCACGAACGGGCATCCCGTTCTAATGCCTCCGGTGCTCCAAGGATTCCCGAAACCCTCCCTGCATATGAGAGGAGGATTCAGCCGTGACAGCTTGCAGTCCTTCACGCACATACGTTTTTCTCATGAGTCCAGAGTGTACCAGGAAACTGGTGTCTATATTCTATGCCCAATAAACATTTTTACAGCTGTTGCTATAAATCCAAGCGACATATATCAGCAGATGAGATGGCTCCGATTCCCAAATGTTCACGCACATCGCTCATTCTTCACAGACTTAAGATGGTGCTATCACAATCAGGACACAAATGAAAGAAACAGCTCATTTGGCTCCCTGATTTCACTCCTCTATTTTTAATGCTTCATTAGTGCTCAAGATTTTATAACACATTCAGAAGACATACTGTATTAAAATAGCATTATATAGTTTGACCTGCGGTATTTTAGTACCAGTCTGCCAAACCCATTACTCTTTAGTTACTTTATGTAAAGTTTAACCTGCTTCCGCGAAACCACAGCCAAAATGTTAGCTTGCACTGCCATCATTAAATGAAGCTGTGACTGTAGCAGTGGCTATTAAATAGCTACTTTTCTGTCCAATAAATGTGTTTTATTGTTTTTAAGTGTGCAAGTCTCACTGGGACTCACAGTGATATGAATTGAGGCACATAAACAGTCCTCAATGGCACATTATTGAAAGGAAACTTGCAAATGTAATGACTGAATGCCCCTGAATACTGAAACATCTCTTCACAGATGAGACCACGAAACAAGCAGCTTGGCAGAGGCGAGAAATGATCAGCCTTTTTTGTCTCCCTAAAGTATTGTGTCAGTCCTGCAGAGGTCTGTCCTGATATATTCACTGCGCTAGAGGAAGGAGCCAGTCCCACAAAAACTTCTTTTCATAGTAGCAAACGAGTGTGAATAACCCAGCAAGGTCATATTACTAGATGTGCCCAACACAATCTCACTGCAATTCATAGCTGTTTTATTTTTGCCGAATTGGTGGATAATTCGTAATGTTTTCGTACTACCTGTTGGTTTGGTTTAGGAGTGAAGCTTCATGCTTACTTTTTTCTGAAAATTGTACATTTTTGTACAAATCACATTAATATGAAATCGCCACCATGTAAAATGTTTTCTCATGAGATCAGGTTGGATTTGTTTGGATTCATGGTGATCTGAAAAGTTTGGCCTCAGATGCTTAAAGTTAACATGAAACAGTAACCCATTTCAATTCTCTATTGCAATGAACTTCTGAGTGAAAACAGATATTTAATGGAAAAAACGTGATTTTAGAAACTTGATTTTAGCCGTCAGAAATGATTTAATCATGAAAAGTGGCCGTTTATCATTTTGCTAAAATATTACAGAGACAACAATTTTTTCTTTGGAATAATGTGGATTGATAAATCGCAATAAGACCAATACATAATAAGACCAGGAATCAATGTAAAGAAAGTAAATAGGGACGATTTTGATTTCATGCTGACTACATTTTGCCAAACTTTTGTGGGCAAATAAGAACCATTTAGTGTAGAGATGTATGAAGCACAGCTCACACAGAAGCCACTTTAAAACCAAGCAACTTTCTGTTGTCCGAACACGAATTTCGTGTTGAAATTACTTGAATTCACCCAACAGAGCAATGGTAAATTCAGTTAAGAGCAACCTTAACTGAATCCAGCATGGATCCAAACAAATGACAATGAGACCACAATGGACTTGAGAAAAGGAAACAAGACCTTGGACGGACCAGTTCAACTCCATGGCTATAACCTTGGACTAAAGTTGGATGGAAAACCATAAAGAACCCTAGTGCTACTACTGGAATCTCAAGGCTTCTGAACATCGTGGCTTTTACAAGACTATCCATGTGCGAGGGAGATGTCACCAGTGTGGCCACTGCTCAGGTATTCCACCCCCACATACTCCAGACAGATTGAACAAACAACAAGGCTATAAGTCTTTCTAAAATAGCATCATTCCTTTTGATTTCCCTTTAACCCTCATGCCGTGTTCAAATCATTTTGACCCATAGAGATTTTCTTTTTCTTGAAAATGCTAGTTAGTGTTATCACATTGGACTAAAACTTACTGACCGTGCTAACACAGGTCATTACAACTTTTCAAAAATAATTGTTGTACTTTATTGGTAGTTTTTCCACCTTGTTCCACCTCTAAAATGAACAACCTACAAAAAATTGCTTATTAATGTCTCGTCGTGCTATATTATCGCCAAATAATGGTTTTAATCTTCTTATCAACTTGTTTTCTTTCGATTAGCATGCATGGGTTTTGTATTTGTTTTGGAACTGATTGATCATAGGCATCATTGATCCGAGTTTATGCACCTCAGCTTTTAAGTGACCAGTGCCAAAATGATCCACAAATGCTTTTTTCACTCAAAAACTGAGGTGCATAAGTGCAGATCAATGAGGCCTACAACCAATCAGTTCCAGAAATAAATAAAACCTGTGCCAATTGAAAGAGAACAAGTCGACAAAAAGATTAAATCCAAGATTTGGTGATAATATAGTGTTAATGAGAGACTTACAAGCAATTTTCAAAAACATTTTTGACTGGAAACACCAAATGAGGTAAAGGTTAAAGAACAGGGTGGGGCCACATTTGGTGACAGAAACTGATGCAAACAAAGGCAGACATACCAAAATCATAAAAAACAGTGAGCGTCCCTCAGTTCGGATGCCACATGGCGTCTGCCCTGTAATTACATTTGCATAGAGCAGCAGCGGCGAGTGTCACTGCAATGCCTCTGCAGCAACAGGAAAGAGCCAGACTCGACTGCCTCCTTGACCAGGATTCACACACACACACACACACACTCACACCAGAAGCAAAAATAAATAAACATATACCGCACATATTCCCTTGAATCAAATACCATCACTGATGGCAGTGTGCCTTTAGCAACAAGCAACAAAGCTCAGGGCTACTGGCGTTTTCAGTGCACAGTCAGTATTTACAGTATTTTCATTGGTTTAGAAGACATTCTCATTCACAGCAACGCTTAAAGCTTATTTTCGAGTGCTCCTTTTGTTCAGGCAAACCTGTGGTAAGCAATAGTATAATCGAACCAGCCATGTTTAACATTTTCAGTGTGCGTTTGCATCAGTTCCCCTGTAGATTTCTCATTTTTTTATTTTTTATTTTTTTTTCTCGTTTTCTTTAAAAAAAAAATTCATTTTGATTGCAAAAACAGTCTAGTTCACAAATAAAATGTACAGCCTCAAAGCTCCAATAGGGGTCTAGCTAGAAAAGATAATAGCCCCTTTCACACATCTTTACTGGTAAATTACAGTTTAGAGATCATGTGGCAACAGGATCTTTTTTAAAAATACCAGTAAGTCAGTTCTAGCAGCATTTTGGTTACTATTGTGTGGCGTTTTGAAGATCAAAAACATGTTCTGTGTGATCACTTATGGAATCCTAGTTCCGCCAGGGAACAAAAAAATTTAAAAAGGTAATTGTGACTTTTTTTCACAGAATTTTTTCTCAAAATTGCAAATAAACTCAAAATTCTGACTGACTTTCTCGCAATTTAGAGTTTACGTCTTGCAACTGTCCTTTTTTTCGTCTGAATTCTGAGTTTTATCTCACAATTCTGATGTTTTTCTCACAATTGCAAGTTTAGATCTCACAATTTCTTTTCAGAATTGCACAATTCTGACTTTTTTCATAGTTCTGAGGTTACTTCTCACAATTCTGCCTTATTTTCCTCTGCATTCTGAGCTTACATGTCGCAATTCTGACTTTTTTGTTTCTGCCATGGAATGAAAAATAAAAAAGGTAATTGTGACTTTTTATCTCACAAATTTCTGGCTTTTTTTCAATTGCAATTGTGAGTTTATATCTCACAATTTGGACTTTTCTTCTCAGAATTGCAAAATGTTTACAAGCCGTAAACTCGCAATTACGAGAAAAAACGTCCATATTATATGAGATGAAAAGATGTGGAGGAAACAGGTTTCCATAATCATCCTCTTACGCTTGTCACTCAGAAGTCAAAAAATTTAAAATATAATTAAACCAAAACGCATCTCCACATACGAGCCGATGAAGAAAAAGTACTGCGTCATTTCCGATGACTGACATCACAGAGTTTATGGTAACTAAAGTTAGTTTAGTTTAGGTGTAACTAAAGTTACACCTCATTTCTGAGTCAACATCAGATGCTGAACACCAGAGATGATCAGTGTTTACGAGCCGCTCTCGCGTCTCATGCGGCGTTCTCTAATTAGAGAAAAGTAAAATAAAGCAGAGATGCACACCCATCCCCCTCGCCCCTCTCCGGGGCCCTTGTGGGACAGTCCCCGCGGGGCCCTGGCTAACATATCAGCCGTATTTCTGACGCCCCGGGGCGTTCAGAGCATGCATGTTAAAGGGGCGCTGTGTGGGAATGCCAAGGCACCTCAGCATGACATGCAGCAAGAGTGATCTGCTTCCTTATAAGTGCTCACACAATCCCACAGCATGAGAAAAACAGAAAGAAAATAAAAAAATAAAGACTTATGCTTGTGTCGGCTCAGACAGAACTAAAAATAACAAGCGTAACTTCATGCATCCTTTTAAACCATCTAGGTAGCTCTTTGAGGTAATAAAAAACATAATTTCACTGTAAAAAGCCAAGGAGGACTTCAATAATCCGTCCTAAAATCTGTTTGATTCTTGACAAGCACCTGATTACAGAAAGAAGGGCTGGGAGAGCCTCCACATCCATAATCAATAATATATAAATAAAAGAAGTAAGCAGCGACGGATAGCATATTCAGTGATCCTAATAAAAAGCTGACCTATCCAAATATACATATAAAAAACAGTAAAGTACTATTTTGGTGATATTCTTGCAGTTCATTGTATGTTTGTGAGTCAGTTTTCAGACCTCTCGGGGAGATCAGTGCAAATGAAGAATTATTGCAAGAGTCTGCTCATATTCGAGGGAGGAAGTGGGTGACCGTCATGGCGGTGGTGGCCTTGTTGCCTCGCTTCGCTCGGCCATGTTTGCTGAGAGCGACATAGAATCCCTTGTAAACGGAGGACTCGTAGGCATTGTAGTTATTTGGCAGCAGGGTCTCCTTGAACTTGCATTCATCTTTAAAGGTAGCCTGAAAGAAGGAGAACAGAATGAATGTGAATACCAACATTCAGTCAGAAGCATCTATGTTTAGCATCACTGAGATAGTATTTGTAATTCAATTTTTATCTTTGTATTTTTAGTTACAGTTTTAGTAATTTTGCTGTTTTTGTGATTTTTATTAGTTATTGTTTTTTTTAAATGTCTATATAGTTTTTATTAATTTTTATTTGAGCTTTAGCTATTTTAGTTCATCAATTTAAATGAAAATAAGAAAATTTGTGTAATTTTAGTATCGAGAAACTATTATAAATTTTCTTATATAAACATTTGAAGTAGTTTTATTTTTGTATTTTCCACTTTCTTTTTAAATTTGGTTAAAGTTTAAGTGATTTGTGTTTTTTGCCATTTTTATTAGTTATTGTTTTTTTTTATATGTCTATATAGTTTTTGTTTTAAGTTTAAATTGTTTTAGTACATCAAGTTAGCTAAATGAAAATGAGAAATTATGTATTATTTTGGTATCAGATACTTTTATATATTTTTTATATTTTTTAATAAGTTTTTATTTTTGTAATTTCCAGTTGCATTTTAATTTTGGTTAAAATTTAAGTGATTTTGTTGTGTGAGTTTTTTTTTTTTTATGTATGCCCACATAGTTTCAATTATACCAATATAATTTCAGTTTTAGTTATTAAACTAAATGAAAATGACAAATTTTGCTTTGGCAACTATCTGAAATAAGATGAAATTTGTTTGTATTTTATTTTATTTTATTTCAAGTAACAAATATGTTTTGTGTGTGTGGTTTTAGTTTTAGTTAGCTATAATAACCCTGCAATGCACAAATATTTTTGCCCTCATGACTATTAGTGAGTCAAACATCTTGAGCAAATAAATGAGGCTTCTGTTGATGTAGTTAGTGAACTCAACTCAAAAATAACAGCACTGTTTTGCACATGACTTTGAGTGCAAATACATCTAACCTCTTGAACTGATCAGTTTCTCAGCCTCATTGCCCATAACAGCCAACATACTGAACAAACTTGCTAAGAATCTTTCAGGTGAGTCTGGTTCTTCAAGAAAACCATTAACCTGAAGCATTAATCTGATGCTAATCCCTGAGCTAAACAGGCCTTTTAATTAAAAACCACTTAAATGATCATTGCAAGACTGGCCTGTGGCATCTACTTTATCTCTGCTTCTCCAAAAGATGCTCTTGTAACACTCTGCAGTTTTTGGATAGAGCTGTCGTGCTCTCATGGGCCCCAAAGGACCAGTGTTGCACTGCGCTTGTCACACCTATGCCTAACTTCAGCCAAGACTGCCAAGTGTATCATTTACCCTTCAAACCTGCAGACACACTTTAAATCACACATCATTTGTGTAAAGAACAAACTACATAATCACTACTACTGCTATTAACAGTTCAAAACAATGTGTAAATAGAAGCTGCTCTACAAAATATTTAAATTTATGCACACATATTTTATTAAGGGAACTTTTATAAACACACTAACACAAAATAGGGTGAATTCAGGTTAATGTGTACATTTTTCCCAGTCATCCCAGTGTCCCAATTTACCAGAAAGTGTAAAGCAAGATGAAAACTGCAATTACGCACTTTATGTGTGACTATTCCTACTAATAACCTACAGCTACCAGCTAATATAAAAGAATGAGGCGTTAGTTTATAGGCTTAATGCAAGCAATTATTATAAACCTTTTTGCTCGTGCTTGTAAGCCGCTTTGGCGCTGTGCTTGGATCTAATGCACTGCTTAATAATAATTTGCAAAAGCCGTGGAGCTGTGGCAAACGTACTGCTTCAACTAACCAGAGCACATTATATTTATAAGGCATGAATAATTCAATACAGCACACGACGTAAACACTATTATTAGTCGCGCGACCCCCTCACGTGCCAAATGCATGGATCATTAATTACTTGAAAACGCACAATGGAAGCGTCACCTGTTTAACACATACACGCACACACGAACTCGATTTTCGGGGATGCAAAGCCTCGTTGCATATGCAGGCAGAATGAAAGGCGACACGGTTGCGCACACCTACCGTTCCGTACAACCTTCCTCTGTTATTCATTGCGACAAACAGCTCGCTTTTCACACCGTACAGGCTAATCACTCCTCTGGCCACAGTGGAGATCTCTATGAGACCTGATCAAACAGAACAAGCATGTTACACACAATAAAGAGGCTCCGCGTGACTTAGAACAACAAGGCATGCGGTGGGTGGAACCTCTGCAGGTGCCAATTGTGGATGCGCAAATGGCCTCTTGCGCCACTAGGCTACTACATTATTGCCGAAAGACGAACATCCCTCACACGTTGAGAGTCGTGCATGTTCTAAGCGCTTCTGGGCCGCACAAGGAGCCGGTGTAAAAATAAGTTGGCATCTATATCCGTCCCAGCATTCATGTCATGTTTAAGCCCAGCGCAGATATTTAGCACTAAGGGATACTGCGTGTGTGTCTGTGTTTTAATAGATTTCTAGTCTTTGCCTCCAAACTGACAAGTGTCGCTTACAAAGAATAAAGAGCTCTGCGCAATTAATTATTGCATTATTCCGTGAACTCACTGTACTGGTTCTCATTATGTACACCGTTTATCTTGCCGTCTGGGAGGACCTGAAGATGAAACCCGATGCCTACATTGCAGTACAGCCTCCGCACTCTTTTGATGCCCAGCAAATAGTCATTCTCCCAGTTCGCCTCTGGTCTCTCTCCAGAGATCCCCAGCACGGAGCGGGAGAAGAGGCTCTCCCATCGCTTCTCCAGTAAAGTTGTCCTATTAGTCCTACTCGGAAGCGGACTGGAGGACACAATCCCAACTAGGAGCAATCCTAAGAGCAGAACGGCAGTCCTTGGCCAGTGTTGCCCGTTGGCCTCGCAGGACATACTGATGAGGAGCCTTTGCGCAATGGCCATCGGGTTTACCTTCGGGGCACGTGGTCAAAATTAATGGCACTAAAAATACCCCTCTTCTAGTTTTTCTTCCCTCGGCATGGTGGTGCAGGCTTAATTTAGCGAGGCAGGTCAGGACTTCGGGCATGCGACGGTGGCCCGAGATGAGAGCGGCGGAAGAACGGGGAGAGAGCGCGGAGACACGACTTGAGGTGAAGAAGGTGGTGATGACCATGTTTTGCAGCTCCGAAGCCTCGGGTCGTGGAGAATGCCACTCACCAAAATCCCTATCTCACCTCAGAAGCCACCCTCATCCTTACATGACATCATATTAGGGGAGGGGGGAGGAGAGAGAGTGAGAGAGAAAGTTGCGAGCGGCGAGGAAGAACTGGCCGGACTGATGATGATGGGTCGCTGCTGTCACTCCACGTGTGAAATGGGGGTCGCATGCTGAGCCTTATTGGACGGCTTGCGCGCGATCATGGGATGCGATGGGCACTCTGGCAGCGCCCAAATCGGGACGGTTATATATATATATATATATAAAATAAATTTATGTAATTTAGTCAATGTTTAGTCAATGACTATCAAAATTTTCAACCACACTGGGGGAAAAAAATATTATCTCTACAACACAATGCAATGCAGTTAAAACATTCAAAATACAGTAAAACACCTGTAAAGATCAATACTGAAAATTCCTTCATATTAATACAGTACATTGTGCCCTATTTTTTATGGATGTTTTGTTTTAGAGTGTAATCATACTGTATATGACCCTAATCGGACCATATAAAACAAAAACTACACCTTATAGAACACTTCATTCAAACAAGTGTTTGTGAGAGAGAAAGTTGCGAGCGGCGAGGAAGAACTGGCCGGACTGATGATGATGGGTCGCTGCTGTCACTCCACGTGTGAAATGGGGGTCGCATGCTGAGCCTTATTGGACGGCTTGCGCGCGATCATGGGATGCGATGGGCACTCTGGCAGCGCCCAAATCGGGACGGTGGTCATATGTCTGACAGCCCTGCTTCCTTATTTAGAAGGATAGTATAAAAACAGTCCACTTGTCACCGGAGAGCAATGGCACCCCTGTCTGTCACATCTCAGGCTGTTTGTACAGGAAGTTTACACAACGACCTGATTCTAGAATACTGCGCTCCCACAATGCGTGCCGAACAAAACGTTCCGCGTCTCGTGCATCGCGCAGCCTGATGTTTTTATCTTCCGGGAGGCTGCCTCTCTGGATCTCGTGGCGGTGATGCTGTGCAAAACGCACCTTCAAGAATGCTCGGACCGTGCGCAATGTCCGGACGTCAGCAGATGCTGCGCGTCGTTGCGCGGCTCTCCAGGGGCGCAGAGAGAGATTGTGGTGACGCTTGGGGAGGCGCTGTTGTTGGCAGCGTGAAAAGCGTCAATCACAATTATTTGCCATTGCCTGGTTCCTCTGGAATATGGAACAAAAGTCAATTATTAATTCTAAATCAAGACGTTTCAGGACAATGTACTATGCCATAAAAATGTGTACATAATTATAGAATTTTACTATATCAGCTTTATACTTTTACTATAATTTTACTTACTTTCCATTTAAATCAAAATAAATGTAAAAAATATAAATTAAATTCATTTTAATTCATTACATATATATATTGCATTATTGACGCACTATTTTCCTATTTAATACTGTAAAGTTGCTTTGACACAATCTGTATTGTTAAAAGTGCTATATAAATAAAGGTGACTTGACTTGACTTGACTTGACAAGTATTCCCATTTAGGATTGACAGCTGTGATTCAGGTTAACTGAAGAACTGCAGTGAATAGCAATAAAATTAAAAGTCATGACATGAACTTTTGCAGCCGAGTAGTCATCGGCTGTCTTTAAAATGCTTACAGCTCTTGTTAAACAGTGACAGTCTAATTAGCAAAGAAATCTCAAATCAGTAGCAAAATACCCTCTGACCCCTGAAGCACCAACACAAGCAGCATAATCAGTATCACTGACGTCACTGCAGGGCCTTCACGTCTAAGGATGTTTTTACACACAGAGTAGTGTATAAAAAGTAGGACAGTTTTGCTGATGTTGTCAGAATCACAATGACATGGCTGTTTTAATAGCACACATAAATCTGGCTGCATGCATTAAAGCTGATGCACAGAACAGCGAATCCATCCCGTGGCATAATTCACACAATTTCCACATGTCCATGTTGATAACACAGCAAAACTAAGATCAAAGCAGACATTTCACATTCAGCTGTCATTGCATCTCAAGTTCAGACAGATTACGGCACACCCAAACATCTGCTGCACATCACTTCAGTTTACCTGAGATAGGACTCAACAGCCTGTGACTCGCTCAATGATTGATTTATAAATAAAACAGCTTCTAATGGCGAATGTGAATATATTAAAACTTGATTTTTGAGGTTATAGGCAGAACATTTAGCAGCACTTTATATATTTGAAGGATATCGTCATTAAATGGGGCTTTGAGCGAGGCGGGGTTGTCACAAACCACGTAACTGGATCCATTGTGGTTTCAAACCCTTCCAATTAGATTTTTATTAACGTGGGTTTAGGCGGTATAGAAACGACAGCTGAGAAGAGCCGCTGAAATCCAGGAGAGAATTACTCACACATGACATCAGGATCATCAGTGGACGTTTAACATTTAACACAGCACACAAATGGCATTCTCTACAGGAGAGCAGCTGCGCGGCGGTACCCATCCACATCCTACTGAAGAAAACCCTGCAGCATATGCTCTATTTTAACTTGCATTTCAGATTGCATTGCATTCCAGCTCTTCATTAAAAACAAGCTGTGTGCCCAAGCACTAGAACAATCTGCATGATGGCACTTTGGGGTAAATAAAGCTGGGTGTAAAAGTGTCCAGTGGAATGGCAGAGATGGATACGAGTCAGGCCCTGTGATCTTGCTGACACAGATGATCAATAATTCAACACGGAAAAGCCTTCAGTTCACCTTTTATTTTTCTTAAAATGCGCAAAAAAATAACTGGTCTGTGAAACAATGAATTCTATTACAAATGGTTGAATGGAGAAATTTTTGCACATATTAATTGACAAATCACTTATATAAAAATTGGCAGCTACAACACAAATGCTGCAAGCTATTGGGAAATAAATAAATAAATAAAATTAAAGTTAAAATGAACATAAAATAAAATTCATATAATTAATATATACATACACACTACCATTCAAAAGTTTGAGGTCAGTAAGATTTTTTTTTTTTCAAGAAAGAAATTAACACTTTTATTCAGCAAGAACAATGTGAAGTTGAAGTACTAAACTTACTCAAACTAAAACTGAAATACAGCTGAATAGAAATATTAAACTAATAAAAATGAAAAAAAATAACAAAATTACTAAAACAAACAAAATTAAAAAAACAAAACTGAAAATGTAAAAATAAAAGCTCATTCAAAATATTAAAAAAAACTCAAGCAATTTATAAATAATACTAAAATGATAACGATTTTTATATATATGTGATTTAAAAATTCAGTTACAGTTTCCACAAAAATATTACAGTTTCCACAAAAAAACATATTCATCAGCACAACTGTTTTCATAATAAGATGATAATAAGAAATTTTTCTTGAGCTCCAAATCAGCATATTAGAATGGTTTCTGAAGGATCATGTGACACTGATGACTGAAGTAATGATGCTGAAAATTCAGCTTTGATCACAGGAATAAATTACATTTTAAAATATATTAAAATAGAAAACAGTTATTTTAAATTGTACTAATATTTCACAATATTACTGTTTTTACTTTTAAATGTTTCAGAAACAGTTATAATATTACTGACCCCAATGTTTTGAATGATGTATATACATACATATATACATACATGCATGCATATATACATATATATATATAGTTTTGAAATGATCAATCACCACTAGTGATGTAAAGTGGTTTCTGCAGTGAAGTTCCTGTTGTGGCAGGGATTTTGTGTGCCAGGCTGAGCTGCAAGAACAGCACTAAAAGCACAGTGTGTTCATGAGCTGACAAGAACTCAAGAGAGAACATCTGACCCCTGCAGAGAGCAGAACTCTGCGCACACTATTAGCACAGCTGAAACTCACAGCACAATGACTCAGGTAAAATTTCTGTCCACCTTAAAAACAAAGGTCACTTTACTTTTGCTGATCGAGTTCTGTGTTTTTGTGCTTTTGTTTCTCTGGTAGAGAGCGGCCTAATGGTGTCTGCTTCTTTTTCTCGTGAGCTGAAAAGTGCACAGTCATTTTAAATGACATCTCACCTCTCACCACTCATTACACGAGTCACTGTTTCTCAGCGTGACATCAGGCGTTGAGTATGGATCATCCTCATATGCACTCTCATCAGATCAAGAGATATTCTGTTTTATACATTTATAAAGGCTCAATCTACTACAAAAAAAGCGCAACTGCCATCATCTTAAACAGAACTGCTGCTACTTGGCTCACAGATCCTGCCGGAATAACTTGTTTGCACAGAAATGGTGCATTCCATTACTTGTTCACCAATGGATCCTCTGCAGTGAATCAGTGCCGCCAGAATAAGAGTCCAAACAGCTGATAAAAACAGTCCACACCACCAATCCATCAGTTAATGTCTTTTGGAGTGAAAAGCTGCATGTAAGAATCAAATCCATCATTAAGACATTTTAAATAATTCTGGGCAAAATACAAGTCTATAATACATAATATTGCTTCCTACTGTGAAAATCTGTCCCCTGTTGTCCTCTCACACCCAAATCATATTTGTTTAGAACTGTTTTATCTCTGCATATTTCTCTCCTGATTCAGATTAGACAACTTGAAGAAAGCAATATTATGGGACTTGTATTTTAGCTGGAAGCAATGGTTTAAAGTTAACAAGTCTTCATTATGGATTTATTACAAACACGCAGCTTTTCACTTCACAAGACTTTTATTGATGGACTGGAGTGGTGTGGATTACTTGTGGATTATTGTGATGTTTTTATCAGCTGTTTAGACTCTCATTCTGACGGCACCCATTCACTCCAGAGGAAACATTGGGGAGCAAGTAATGTAATGCTAATTTATTTTTTATTTTATTTTTTATTTTTTGGGTGAACTATTCCTCCACAAACACCAGTAAGTACTAGAAATGGATTTGTAATGGTTTTAGTTTTTCTCAACTACTCAGACTAGTCAGAGAGTAGCAACAACTGATAATCAAGAGACATTCTGTGTTATAAATTTTTTAAAAAGCACAACTGCCATCATCTGCTCACAGATCTTGCCAGAAGAACTTGTTTGCACAGAAATGGGCTGCACTAAAGTTTAAATTAAAGTTTTGGAGGATTTCGGTCTGACGAGCGATGAAGGAAAAGCAGAATGACGTCAGCGGAGGGTTTCTGCTGAGTCAGCAAGACACAACCCCAGCGGTCTCCCAGCATTCCCTTGAACTCTACAC